CACGTTCGATGAATGGAATATGTGCGTTTGAATCGCCATATGCGGAGATCCGTATTTTGAGAAATATTTTAGAGTTTTAGTCTTCTGTCAAGCGTATTCGTACATAATGATCAAGGAACGATTTGTTACACGAATGAATCGAACGGCTGCCTACGTCGATCTTGTATCGAATCGTATCGAAACGGAGTGCTTAATATTTACGAAGTGAACTTCGAACGCGTACGTACACATATCCGCTTGATTATGACGGCGTTGGCGAATTGAAGATTCTTGCCAAGTACTTTCCTGTCCTCGTCCTGTTTAGATGAGCAGGATCGAAATAAATAGTTTAACCGGGACACGCGCTATTCTTCTTGGAACGAGTCGGCGCCACGCGTATCGATTAATAATTATCCGCCTCGTTTGTAAAATACGCACGTAGGAATTAACGTTTTAGTCCTCGAACGAAACGAAAGGAATCTTTCAGAAAAGAAAAACGCCGTTCAAATTTTGGACCTCGGAAATCACCACGCTCGCAGTCATCTTCGAAGGTTTATGCAGATGTTGATCGAAATTGAACTAATTCTATAAATTACAAGCTTGTAGTTCTGATCCGACATGAAGTTAGAAAATTATATGTAACAGTGATTTCTTACACTTGTTAATTCAGCAATATTACTGGATATTAATTATTATCAAGGGCCAAGCAACAAATACTTCAATTTTACGAGATTCTACGAGAATTCAAGATTAGAAGACACAGCGACGAAATAAATCTCTTTGGAAACGTTCTTTCACGGTTCTAACACTGGAGAATACAATTTGACTTGAAATGTAAATGCCTGACGGATGAATTGTCACAATGATTTGACGACTAGACAAGATAGATACATACATAAAAGTAGAACGCGTGAATTTTTCACGTGTCGGAGTGGAGTCTGGGTGGCATTAGTGTCGGTTCCGTTGCACGGTGGAACTCGTGACGAGCGGACGGAGGTACAGCTCCGCTCCTCTTCTCTCGGCAGCAGGAAAAGATGGCTCGTTTCCTCGCATTGTTTTTAACCGCGGTATATAAGCAGCTATACCGGGACATGGGAGCGGATATGCGGAGCGCGGACACGCGAGTGCACGCTCTGTCGGCTGTGTGCCGGCATCCTACCGATGTACGAGTTTTCACGATGAGAGAAGCCGCTCAAAGATTACCGGCCTCTGAAATGGAGAGAAATAGACGACGTTGACCGGTAATCTCGAAATCTTAACGGAAACTGATTAACGATAGCGTTTAGTTGTTTTCTGTCAACGTGCTGCTACTATGGCTGTGTTTCAGTAACACGCTGTACCTTTTCTTCTTCTTCTTCTTCTTCTTCTACTACTACTTGCCCTCTCTCTTTTTGCCCTGAAAGATCAGAACAAGGGAAGAAAATTGAAGTGAACGTTCGCGAATTCGACGAACGACGAGAGCAGCCTCTTGTCACTTTGCAACACGGGCGACTGTCTCGATGTTTCGCGTTCGTTTCGTGGAAACTTTACAGTCGACTTAACTCGCTTCCCTCGTTCTCCAGGCATGTAAAACAAGAAGCGACGAAGCGAACGAGTCGTCAAATTACAGTCGTGATCGATAACAACAGATAGGATACGAGTCGAAAGATGGCGGGTGGAAAGAAAAGCGGAGGTTGTTGGTTTTTTGATGGAAAGCAATGTTGATCGCGCCACTTTTTGCTGCGGGTGTGTGGTAGATGGTTATCGAATTTCGTTTCCACCGCGATTAACACGATTTAATTGTACGAAAGTAGAAAATTATTCCATATTATTCTGTATAACCGGCAATTATTCGCGCGTCGTTCTCCCTGGCTTGAATTTACGCGTCAATCAATTCTTCTCTCTTTTTTTTCTTCTTCTTTTCCTGGAGACGCACGTCAGACGCAATTTAAACTAGAGATCGCGGTTATTAAAAAATATTAAAATATAAGTGACGTGCAGATATTCTTAACGCACGTGTAATATTACATTATTATAGTTTTTAATGTACGCTTTATTGTCCATGAATATTTGATCATCCACATTTTACAAGTAATGTACAAGAAATGTACTTGAACTACACTCCTATATTCACACAAGTATTCTAATTCGTGATAGAAATGATATTCAACGTCAATCACTATGAACAAAAGTATCCCACTAACAATAAGTAGTCAAATATTCATGGACGATAATGTAAATACATTTCTTATAATTCTTAAAAGTCCGAAAATATTTTTTATTTTCATAATATTCAATGACTATTGTAGCTAATAAAATTTTCAAGCTACACGTGTTCAACTTGTATATCTTAGAATACAATTATTAATGCATGTAAAATACATTTTACAAATACATTTTTGTATCATTC